GGGGCCCACCCCCCCCCCCCCCCCCTCCCCTGCTCGGCAAGTTTGGCTGTGATAGAGACGAGCTTCAACACCTTCGTTCATACGCGTCTTCACATAGTCTTGGATGTGGATGTTGATGTTCTGGACACCCACACACCGTGAAAATTTCATTCATTCATTTGATATGATCATATGTTTGTTTCATAGTTTAGAAATTAATGAAGTCGTCTTTTTTCTCATTTTATCGATTTGATAATCTTATCCAATATTAAGCGAATGCTTTGCCTATAATATTTAAATGTCACATGTCCATTTCTTCTCTCAAATGTGAAATTTTTCTCAGTTTCGATAAAAAGGCTTTCGTCGATTAACCTTAAAATACATTTCCTTTGCATTATTTTAAGACTACAGCTTTTCAGGGCAGTCTCATCGTCAGAACAAATAGATAATCCTAGCTTATGACTTCTTCAACTCGAATCTTAGCGGTTACAAACAACAGAGAGACGAGCACATATGCTACTGATTAGGATACGATACTCTTCTGTCGGATATAATGGTGCTGTTTGTTTAGAAATTACTTGTTAGGATTTATTTTAGATAGCGAAATTCTTTGCTCTGTCGTAATTTTCGTTCACAAAACTTATTTTCATTAACTCACAACAAGAAGACAAGTAGTGAAAGTGAAAAGACAAAGAATATAACAAACATACAAAAATAAAGTGATTTTGGCTGTGAATATTTATAAATAGAGAAAAAACGAAATCCTACAACTATACTCCCAGACCTATGTTTACATTCAAATCATCATGCACAATTATGCACTAGGAATGTAACTGAGCAAATTCGTGCTACCAAGAAAAGAATACATTGTATTTGATGATTATTCACGCCCTCTATCCTTCCTTTTTTCAATTAGTCCTCGTCAAAGAGTGATCCTGCCTGTAACAACAACTGATAGATGAGAGAGAGAGAGAGAGAGAGAAAAACAAACCGAACATTTACGTAAAATACACAGCACATGATTATGTAGAGTAGTACGGACATTTCGTTGAAAATATTCAATTCTCAAAAATATCTATTTTTATATTATTTTTAAGATTAGTTTTTTTTTTTGTAAATAAGTATTCTGCTAATGTTAATCGACGACGAAGCTGCATTACGTGACTGGCTTGTTACAACGCTTGAACCATTGTACGTTTAATTCTTGTTCAATAACTAATAGTATTTTTTTTTTGCTTTGACCCATTTGTATTAGATGTGATGCCGAACCGATAGCGCTTGCTCGTTATGTTCTTGCACTCGTTGCTAAAGATAAACCGTTAGATAAACTTCGTGAAAATTGTATTGATCGACTTGAAGTTTTTCTCGATCGAGGTATAAAAATAATTTTCCTTTTTTTTTTCAACTTGTTAATGCTTGACATTTTTTCTTCTATTTTAATAGTAACAAAAGATTTTGTTGACCAATTATTTGATGTTATAAGAAATCGACGCTATATACCTGAAGGAAAAAAAGTAAGAAAATAGAACATAGAAAAGAAAAGATATTTTTTTTTATCTATATTAAATAGGAAAATGTTCAACCAAAACCAAATGAGACAAATACTGAAATGTCTGCAATGCATCAACCACAAAATGTTCCATTGCCAACAAAACAAGATGATATTCCACAAACTGAATCAACAGCATCTTCATCGGTAACAATGAATCAACCAATAAAACGGTAAACTTTCTCATCATGAAAAACAGTTGTTAAATTGTTTATTTTTTTTTCGTAGAAGTTATTCTTCTCGTTGTCAATCAAATACTGATAATGATAATCATAAACGTCAATCTACAGGTTCACCATCAGCTAAACGCACTCAACGTTCTTATTCTCATTCGTCAACAGATTCTTCACCATCACCAATAAATACAAATTTATCATCGAATAAAATTCCATGTAAAGATTTTTTTGATAATAAAGGTTATTGCGCTCTGGGCGATTCATGTCCATATGATCATGGGTCTAATGTTTTAACTTTTGAACAGCAAGATTATTATTCAAATTATCAACCATATGATACACAATCAACAGATATTCACCAACAATATAATCCTGAAATACCTGATTTAAAATATGATTTCCATCAAATATCATCAATGTCTAGTAGACAACCATTACCTGTGGGCCACCGAACATTAGTTACCGTTGTAACGAATGCGGAACCACTAAATACCGAACAAAAATTACGACAAAATAATTCAAGTAAATATTTGATATAGATATATTTTTTTTTCAAATGAAAACTATTAATCTCTAAATAAAATTCATAGATGGTCCTATGCATCGTACTAAACGACATGTTACTACTGCGCCATATCCAATGAATAGGCGATTACAACAATATGATCATCAATCGAATAAAAACAATCACGATAATAATCGTGCTCGAAAACGACCATGTATGTTTTTACTCATGATTGAGGATTTTAGAAATCACACATAGAAGCGTTATTTTAATTTCCGATGAAAAGTTTAAAGAAACTTTCTCTATATGATGTAACAGTGAAATCAATCATTTATTGAATAATTTCGATAAGAACTGAGTATTACATGATATATGATGGTAATATTGTGTATCGATATTCTTATCATCTCTAATGTCTAGCCGTCTATATACGTATGTCACGATATATAATAAGTAATCTGGATAGAACGAAAAAGAGACAAGTTCATAAAATATTTATTTTACTGAATTTTAACATTCTTATATATGTTACAATTTCCTTTTTTCTTACAAAATTTTTATCTACTTATTTACATTACGATATAACGATGATGAATTGTTTAGATTCTATTTGAGACTTGGCTAAATAACTAAAAATGACCTATTGACTTGTAGGAAGAAGCACTGAAGTAAAACATTGTTTGTGTATTTCATTTTAGTTCTTTTGAGACTACCTATCTTTTTTTCATTTACTCCTAATGTGCATAGATAGTTAGATATTAAACGATATAAGGATAACATCGAAAAATTGATATCTATTGAAGGTAAAACGTGATCGATCAAAGATTATTATAATAGATTGACGTGTCGTCAACTATCGTCAAGGCTTTAGAACTCAGCCGTGCTGTTCATCAACGAACACCCTATTTCATATAATATTATTGCAAAATAACTCATTGATTGATAGAGGATTGTTTTTCCTATTAGATTTTATAGAAAATATTTATATCACTAAGTTTAGTATGAACGAAGTATAATAACTACATCTATTTATATGACATAGGGCAAAAATCAGATGGATCAGGATCAACACTTGAAATACGTAAAATTCCCGTTGAATTTAATACAATTTCAAAATTAAACGAACATTTTAGTAAATTCGGCACTGTTACCAATGTTCAAGTATGTATCGATTATCTATTATGATAAAATAAATATACGTTTGTTTTTTAATATGTTTAGATTGCTTTTGATGGTTCTGCTGATTCAGCACTTATTGCCTATGGAACATTTCAAGAAGCTGAAACAGCCTATAAAAATCCCGAACCATTGTTTAACAATCGTTTTATAAAAATATTTTGGCACAATCCTAATAAAGTAAATTTTTTAATTTCTTTATTTTAAGTAAACTTTTTTTTATCAACGTTCAGGGACAAAATCAAACAAATATTAATAATCCACCTCCATCGGATTCAACCCAACCACAAAAACCAAGAACTGCTCCGAATCCAGTAAAACATCATTGGACAAAAATACAAAAACCAGTACCAAATAAAACTGAAGTAACATTGAATTATCATATTATCAATGAATATTATTTATTTATTTCAGGTACCACCGAAAAAGAAAGCAGCTATTCCACCTGCTCCGTCTGCAATAAAAAAAGAAGCAGCAAAGAAAGCTGCCATAGAAATTCGCCGTAAAAAACAAGGTTTATTCGAAGAACAAATTCAACAGCAAAAATTATTATTAAAAAAACTTGAAACAGCTGAAACCAATGAAGAAAAAGAATCTATTCGATCATTGATAAAACAAATTAATTCAACTGTTGTTATATTGAAAGATTCATTCCGTACACTACCAATTAAATCAGCGCCACCAATAATAAAAATTAGTCAACAAGATATTCTTAAAAAACGCGCAGAAACATTAAAGAAACAAATTGAAAGTCTTCGAGCGAAAACATCAGCAGATATGGTGAGATCTTAGTATTTGTTTTTTTTTATGAATTAGAATTCTCATTAAATCTGTCTCTTTTATTTTCCTTTCTAGCGTCGTGTGATAAGTAATACATTAGACAATGAAGTAGTTAATGCAAATCAAATAAATAACAACGATGAAGATGACGAAACAAATATTCTTAATGAGGAAGATCAATTATTAAATGATAATGAAAAAATCAACAATTCATCTTATAAATTTGATACTAATGATGAAGCAAAATTACTCGGTTCTTAACAAAATCGTTTTTCTTTTTGAATATAATTAGAAACTTTTAAAATAAAAACTTTGTGTTTGAAATTACTTTTTACTTTTTTTCGATGTGTGTTTTGTTTCTTGCTGTTTATTTTCCGTCTCTAGTTTCATTTAATTCTACGTTGTCAGGAACATCTCACAAAAGAAGAAAAAAAGAAGTATATTATACAGAATAAAAACAACTCTAGAGATATATATATATGTATTTGCTTTCTTGGTTGACTTAACATTAATTCTCTAAGATCGAAAAAGACGAATGTGTAGAAAAGCTGTGCGACAAAAGTGATGCTCACCCTTTTGCTAGAAAGTTTCGAGCAGCTTTCTCTAAAGCTTTCACTGAAGAAATTGGAGCACACCAGTGTTTGATACAGATCAGATTTTGTGGACTCGATACGAACATCGTTCCAAATGAGAACACATTGCTCATAATGTACATCTTTACTCTGTTATTTGTCCTTATGGAGTTTTTTATGTAAACCAAAATTGGAAGAAACGACTGTAAACGTAAGCTGAAATATTCATACTTATCTAGATTGAAGTTGATTCAATAAAAATGTCTATTTCAAACTGGATTTACTAATGTGATCGGTAGATTTTTTTCTATTGTGTCCTCTGTAAGACTTTCTACTCTTACAAAAAACAAACGAATGGCAAAATCTTAATAACTAATGTATAGAAGATTGAATTTTTGCTTTAATATGAAACAAACTAATTCGACTAGAATGAATATTAGCTTCACATGCAAGCACTGTATGTTAGTTTTCAATTGGTCTACAGTAATTTTCTATTCCATTATGATGGAAATTTCTTATCTGTTCGCATATATATTCTCAAGTTTTAGCTACTGGGTTTCTTTTTCTTCTTCTGTATTCTCTACAACATTTCTCTTTTCGGCCATGCATGACAAACGTAATAGAATACGGGATTCTCTAGTTATCAACATAAATAGTGACAGCAATTTATACCGCTTTACTATCGTACAAATTATTAGAAAAGGACACAATTTATATTATCTTATGAATAACTTATTGAATTTTTCATAGTTCTTCTCTTGATTTACTTATTTCTGATGAAACTTTCGCATAAAATCAAATTAATGAAGTAAGTCAAGTGTTAAATAATTCGACTATGTATAAAAATGTTTTACAAAAACTATCAGCAATATGAATGTGAATTCCGATAGCGAATATCAGTGCTACTCTCAAATGATGAGAGTGGTCGGTTGTCTTGTCTTCATTCACAGTAAATATGCTGAAAAACGTCCCATCACTTGTTTATTTTGAAATAGTTTTGACGTGCAAATTCAAACAAAATGATTCCTTATTATTAGGGGCAATCCAAGCTGTTATTTTTATTCTCTTCCTCTTGGTCTTGAATTTGGCGAACCAAATATAGCTGTGCTCATCAGGATGACCAGATCTTCTGAAAAGTAGGGGAAATTTCTGGAATTTGAATTTCTTTTGATCTTCTGATTTTTTTCCGAATTCGAAACTATTTCAGATCCCAGTTTTGCTAGTGCAGTTCAGTACAATTATAACACACATTACTATTAGAGATGTACATTGCGGCACCTTGTGTTTCTCAATTATCCGTTGGTAATTTCTGACTTATATAGGCAAATTGAGCTACAACAATGCACTAGAATTTGATAAATTTCTTTTCTTGATTTCGAGAATCTTATCTAATTGAACAGTTCACAAATAAAAACAAAATTGTCTATTGGATGATATTAATATGGTTGAATTCGATTGTGAAGAGAAACAAATCGAAGTAAATTAATTAGCCACAGCAATATCATTTCGACATATAACGGAAAAAAAAAGAGTTTTTCGTAAAGATTCGTTATCGATTGATGATGTTTGCCGTTGAAAGAAATCGCTTGAAATAATTATAATATTTTAGATTTCTATCGAAATGCAGCAACAAGAACTTTCTTCTGTTAACCCGGGGCCAAATAGAGAAAGACAATTTTTCTCGCATTCACCTGGTAAAAATGTCAAGTGAACTCAGTCCACTCTAGAGTAAAAAGGAAATAGTCATCAAAAGAGTGGATGTCACAAAAGTTTCAATTTAAAATCCTGCCATATTTTTTTAACATTTATGCTGATATGTATAGCAGGTTAAACATTTTTTTTTTGTATCTGCTTCGTTTTTTTCTCTTCTTATCGGTGTATCTCTCATTATATACATTAAATGCTTTTCATAACCACAAATGGGTGTGTTGCTTGAATAATGAATGAATTTATAAGATTTATATTGAATGCATTTCACGTCAAATCGATGTCTAGTTTGAATATCAATAACACGATGTGTTTTTATTATTACGATCAAGGTTTCATTGATTTTTGGCGGAGGGCATAATGGGTGCATATCGTAAATTAGGTACAATATATTTAGAATGAATGCTTACTGTGAGGAGTCTTCTTGCCAGAAATGAATCGAATTCTTCTATTATTATTCAGATATAAACATATATTTTATGCTATAAAATTCTGTTTTAGTTTGTTCAAGATACATACATAAAACAATATTTAATGTATTGCTCACTTTTTCGCTAAATAATTATGTTCTACTTAAAAATAAACAAAGTATCGTAGTAAAAACGTAGAAAAACGTGGTAAAATCAATAGACATCAGTATGCAATGCAGAAAGTAACCCATGCGCATCAAATTATTGACATATTAATGATTACAACAGAATGCGTACGTAACAGTAAGTAATGCAAATTTGCCTCGTTAGTTGGATCGTTTCTATCTTATTCATCACAATAAAAAGTGATAATAAAACGACATACATTTGCGATAGAAGACTTTCATGTGGATGTTCATCCAATGTAGCTGTTCTTGCACGTATTATTGGTGGCGAAGAAGTTTTATCTCATTCATGGGGCTGGATGGTAGGTTTATATCGTTCAAATAGTTACTTTTGTGGTGGTTCTTTGATTGAATTGGATTTAATTCTTACTGCTGCACATTGTATGAAATCTGAGTTAACAAAATTAGCTAATATTACAGTCATTGCCGGAAGCAATTCGCTTTCGAATCGCGATGGTCAAGGGCAGATACGTCATGTTCATGAAGTTTTCATGCATCCAGATTTTGACAATAATTTGAACGTTAATGATATTGCTATTATTCGTTTATCATCACCATTCGATATTTCTGTTTCGAAAATAGCAACTATTTGTTTACCTGCTGCAGTCACTCTTGAATCAATAGCCAAATTAGAATATCCAGTACCGGGTACAGCTCTTGTTGTGATTGGATGGGGTGTTATAAGTACTAGCAATCCGAATCCATCAACATCTTTACAACAAGTTACAATACAAGCAGTTGAAAGTACATCCAGCGCATGCAAAACTCCCGCTCAAGAAATGGCGAACGTTACTTTACAGTTTTGTGCTGGAGTATCAGGTGGTGGAAAAGGTAAGACAAAAGGATGATCAATTTTCGATCAATACAATTGAATGCTTTCGTTTAGATTCATGCCAAGGCGACAGTGGTAGTCCAATCATGGCATTTTTTGACAATCGTTGGTACATTATGGGCATCACATCAATTGGTTATGGATGTGCTTTACCTGGTCACTCAGGAATTTATACACGTTTGGCTTACTACATTCCATTTATTGAGACAATTAAAAATAAAAATCAAACGATATTTTCCTCCGTATTAGCAAGTACACCTAATAATTGTAATTCTCGGCAAAGGACACGAATAGAAAATTTGTTTTTCATTTCTGTACTAATTGTCTTCAGCATGTTTTATATACAATAAATAGAGATGAGGAAATTTTATTTTTAAATATTTTTCGTAATCATGCATCTAATTGGTCAAGAAACATAGTTTAGCATTGGGACAATTCTATGTTTACACAATATACAAAATAACATTATACGGTTAACTCGCGACGGGCGGCACACATACATAAAACGCAAGCGTATAAATAAATAAATAAATAAATAAATAGAAAAACAAAAAAACCAATTACTTTATGATGTTTGCTATGAAAACAGAAACGAGAAAGACCTTCAAATTTTCGATCAAATGCAGTCAATGACTTTAGTTTTTTTTTTGTCACTTATACATCAATCAGTTAAAGCTACGAAACATTTTTGATTTGCTCATCGAGCAATTAAATATTTTAATTACAAAAACAAAACTTTTCCTTCAGAGCTATTTCAATGAAATATATTTTTCAATTTATCAAATCAGTTCTCTTTAAAGCAATAAACACGATGCAATGCTTAACTGAAATATCATTAAACTAACTTTATGAACCTAAAAAAATAACGAACATATTGATTCATAACAATATTCATGAACCCGCATATAAAATGAAAAATCTGATGAACATTCAGAGGTAAATGTTCAATCGAATGTAATGGCGTATTTGCTAATTAGCCATTTTCTTCGTAACTAAAGTTTGGATTGTCACGGTTCAATGCACAGCACTATTGCTCACTCTCGTAAACAACAATAATAAAAAAACATTTATAAGGTTTTATTTGTGGTAACACACGAGAAACGCAAAAAAACATCAAAACATACAGATCAATTTTGTTTACTTGTTGTTAGCAATGAGTATACTCTCTCCGATAAACGAATCTGAATCTGGTGACGATAACGAGGAAGTTGCTCGTCCAGTGGAATTAATTGAACATATTTCTAATGATAATATCGAAAAGGAACCATCTGATAAATTCATTGATGAAAATAATTTTCATGAAACTCAACGATCCGTTGTTGTTAATGAATCTCAACCATTGTAAGTGCATTGAATTTATATTATACAATAATACTAAAATAAACTGACAGTTTTCTAATTCATTTCTGTTATTAAATCAAAAAATGTATCTTTGACTATTCTGTCTATATATTTTTTAGTTTTCATACCTTCGACTCGGGTTTCAAAATGTCTACTGTAATTATCTATTTGATTTTCTATGCATCTAGATGAACTTTAAAAATTAAAAATAATCATAAAAGTTTTGGGCTCAAAACTGTTTAAACCGTTCCTTTTCGATCAATCCAAAGAATTTTCTTACCGAAACATTTCTAAAATAGAAGCGCTTCTTTCGAATGTTCTATTTCAAAAAATTGAGTCATTAATCGCTAGCTAATAATACATAGTAAATTAAGAAGTTTTATAAATTAGTGTCAAATTGAAATCTGTCATGTATATTGTAAGAATTATTTCAAGTGGACGAGTTGAAGTTTTTAGTTGTTTTAATGGGTTATCTAACTTTAATGTGAATATTTTTTATTCATTAAAATGTACACAATTTGGTTCTAGTAGAAACCATCATCTGTGAAAGTACCGTTCATATTTATTTACAATATTTAATCCTTCAGCTCAACTTTTTTAAATCTTTCAAATAATTTTAATGAGAACCCATCAGATAGATCCTAGACGAAGAAAGCAGGTATTGGACCAGTACAAATGCTGTTTACTTAAAAATCGCACTTCAGTAAAAGTACAAAGTACAGTTTTTTAGTAAACAGTACATGTACTTTTACTTCAAAACACGTACTGGTTTCTAATTTTCTGACAGATCCGACGATATTATCTATCTGGTGAAATGCATTTCGTGGTGGATCATAGAGTCTATGAATAATTTTCATAACAATGTTTTGATGATGATTTAGAGCCAGATGTAGTGTACTTTATTTGGGTGCAGCTATTCCGACACCAAATCAACAGGGTATTGATTCTATACAAGAACCTTTATCAAAAAGATATCCAATCGATGGAAGCGCGTTTGTTCAAGGTGAGTTATATCTTTCATAGATAATCATTTAATAGAAATTATAAACTCGTTCAAAATCCATCTTAATTCTGTTGAGTGAACTGTGAATACTACGTATACAACACTGTCGCAAACCAATCTACTATAGTTTTAAACGAAGAATGTTGCCGAGTGGGAGATTCAATCGCCTAATATACAATAAGTTTCAATGCCATCAAAATAATTAACTTCTACTGTTTAATCAACGAAATTTTGTAATGACCATGCACTAGATCATATTATTTTGACTACAATTCTTTTAGTGATTCAATTGAATACTTTAATTTTTACCGAATAGGTGCTGAAGCTTGGTTATCTATCGATGAAAATGGTCTACAAATACAATTTGTTTCTGATCCATCACATTTACTCTATTATCCCATTCGTTCTCTTGTTTATTGTGCTAGTGTACGTTTTGTAGAACGAAGTGAAACACGTGATAAATATTCACACGATTGGCGTTTTGTTCCATTAGATTATCCAGAAGCTAGTCACATTGAAAATACACATAATCCACCATTGTTTGTTGCTAATTTTCAACGAACACGTCTTTTACCGACAGATGAATGTCATTGTTTTGTTATAAAAACTGTACAAACTGCAGTAGCACTTGTTCAAGCTTGTTCTAGTGCATATGGAATAGCTGATTCAGAACAAGATTGTTCAAAAGTGCCAATTTACTTCGAAGTAAAAGTTGAAACGGAAAATTTCTATTTCGTATTTTGTATAAATATTTTATTTAGGTTAAAGATGATGGATCGAAGATTCAAGAAATTGACAATGAATTTTATCTTACACCGGCATTAGATGAAGAAGAAAATTTCGATTATCAAATAAATAATAATTGCACTGGTTTTTTCTATGTAACACATCAAATTTCGATTGAATTTTGGCAATTGTGGGAACCTTCTAAACATGATCATAATCGGCCATTAAGTAGTCTATCTAATAAATCATTATCATCGAATTCATCACGTCATAGTTCTCATCATCGTCGGCGCGCATCTATTAAATCAAACAATTCTGATATTCAACAGCCTTTGTCTCAATATCAAACTCCAACACAGAATCCTGTTAAAGAACCATTGGAATCTGTTATTGATCCCTATGCACATGATCCTAATGTTGTTCGCGTTGAAAGTATCAAAGATATGAGTACTGGCCGCGATATTTTTATTCGATGGCTTCGTAATACATCGGAAACAACCGAACAAGTATCAGTTTATCCGAAACCTGCATATGATTTTCATGTAGATTTTAATACTGATTATCCTGACGATCAATCTGATCGAAAATTATCTAATCAAATGAAAAATTTAGCAATAAGTGATGATGATTTTAAAAATTTATTCATGATTTACAATAAATATCAATCAATAACAACAGATCATGAAGAGAAAAAAACAAAGAAAAAACATAGAAAACACAAACATCAAAATCATGAAGTTATTAGTGAATCCAGTGAACACCATCATAAAACGAAAAGTTCAAATAAAGCTCATAAAAAACATCGGCATAAAAATCATGAAGCTTCTGAAACATCTGCACCTCAATTGCTACAACAAAATTTTTCTGCATCGTCTTATAGTATGACATCTCCATATGATACATCGGTTTCATTTCACACATTACCATCATATTCTCAATCAGATTTAATGTACGAAACGCCTCCGTATTGGTCATTTTAAGTTTTTCCTAAGCTCCTGTATTTCTTTCAAAATAAAAAAAAAGCGCATCTATAATAAATAAAATAATATTCATGTCTTTTCATGTTTATCTCGTAGCAGGCTATGTTTATGAATTGAATATAGAAAATATGAAGAAAATTCCAGCATTTATTTTCAATGATTTTGTTTATATGCAACAATTTTATGATCCTACTCGGCAAGTCTATTGTATTTCTCGGAGTCGTGCGTTTTTTGAAATACTTGTTTTCTATATTAATCATGGAATTCTATCGAGACCTGTCGATATTCCACTTGTGAGTATTTTGAAATAAAATCTTTAAAAAAAACAGTTGTAATTAGAATACTGATTATAATAGGATCTATACATCGAAGAACTCAAGTAAGTTGATTTATGTCAGTTCGCTTTGTCTTTCTCGAATCGTCTCTATTAATTCATCTCTTGAATTCTTTGGAAAAAAATGACTCAATCATTGAATGAAATCTTTCAGCTATTACTTTACTGATCGTGAATTTCTATCAAAATTAAAATCTGTCTATGATATTCCTCAGGCAGCTGATACAAACGAAATTCGTTATTTGCCTCAATCGCCATTGAAAACATATCTTTGGCGTTCGATCGAATATAATGAAACATTATTTGGTCCAATGTATCGATTTATTTTCGGTTTAATTTGTATATGTTCAATATTTATTTATATGTATGAATTAGTTGTAACAAGAAATGAAAACTTTCTAGAATTTACTGAAAAATACAGTGGCTATTTTCAAAATAGAATTCATTCTGTTAATGTAACCGTTCGTTTTATTGATTATCGTCCTGATACGCATCGTCTAACATTCTCTATTGAAATTCTTTTTATTTTTCTCTGGACAATTGAATTACTTATGTATCTATTGTCTGCTCCAAGCGTATATTTTTGTATCAAATCAATATTTTTCTGGTAAAAGAAAACTAAAATTGTAAATTATTTTATTTTTATCAAAACGAAATATTTTCCATAGGATTGATATAATTAATATTTTAAATACAATTATTTATGGAATATTTAGTTTAACAAACAGTCGTCAAAGTAATATTGCTACTAATCATATAAAATCAATGACATTCATCTTTCAATGTATGAATATTATTAAAACAATAAGGATGATTAAACTTGGAAGATATCATAAGTCAATAAAACTTATTCTTCTATCTCTTGGTTTGGTTTTTTCATGTTAAAACATCAACTAACCGTTGTTTTCTTCTTTTCCTTATTGCTTTCATTCTTCCAGGAGAAGCATCAATGGGTATTTTTACATTATCTATTGTCCTATTAGGTACGAGTTGTGTATTTGGTGCAATTATTTATTCAATTGAACGAACAACAAATCCCGCAACATCGACTATACTTTTTCCAAATGTTGGCAATAGTGTCTATTATACACTATTAGCCATTACCAATGTTGGCTTTGAAAGCTTTTTACCGTCGACTTATTTAGGTAAATGGATTGCTTGTGCAGCAATTACTATTGGTCTGTTGACAAGTATGAAAAGATAAAAATGAATTTTTTCAATATATTTTATGAATAAATTTTTTTTAGTTGCTTTACCATTACCATTGATTTTATCACCATATACTGAAAAATTACTTACTAAAAATAAAAACATTATCTATCAAAATGTTGGTGGGTCGGAAATTTCAAATGATGATCCCGATGTTGATTGAATATAATCGTGATTATTAGATTAGAAGAACTCGTGTTTCGTGGAGCGTACATGTGCTATGACGTTGACTTAGAGTAATATAAAATGTATAAATTAAAAATGCTTTATCAGATTAAGACTTTTCCAAAGAGACATGATATTTTCCTCGATGTTTTATATATTCAAAAAGCTCTGGGAAAGTACGTACTATGATTTCGACTATCTTTCTTTGTTATGAAAATGCAGCTGCTTCAAAAATATATGTAAAAACTCTACAAACGAGTGGAAATAAACTAAAATTTAAATATCACTGATGCCAAATTGATTTTCCACACTAAAATATGGTCAGCATAAAGCCATCAAGTTCTACTCTCAATTAAAGTAACGACCAGTATAATAATAATAATAAATTGTGGAAAATACAATTAAATAAGTAACTACACATCAGTTAAGATATGCCAAAAACAAAACAATTCTGTTCGCTGTATCAAAACGATTAAGAGAGAACTTACTTTAACGATTAATACCCACTGACGAGTAATTATTTGAGTGTTAATAGAGGTACATGAAATCGTGTCTCTTTCTTTTCGATTATTGCATGCTCACCTTATAATATCAAATTGAAGTTAAACATATTTCAAGAACTTTTTAAGAAAGTTTCGTGTTTATGTGAGTGAAGTTTGATTTTAAAATAGAATATGCAAATAATTCGAGGAATAATCAATCTAGTTCATAATAACATTTTACTTGATAGCAAATGATGAATAAATAGTTCATTTCTCTCTAATCGATAGGAATTATTTTATTCTTGAGAATAAAAAAGTGAAATGAAAATAGTAAAAATAATGAATAATTCTACTACAGCAAAACGAGCACTACTATTCTTAGTAGTTGTTGTATCGATTGTGTTATTATTATATTGTACTTGATAGATACGATTGTTGCCATCATCAGTAAATAAAAGACTACCATCTTTCAATACAAGTAACCCAACGGGAGTTGCAAATGTATCAGGTCCCGATGGTTTGACAAGAAATCCCGTAACAAAATCTTCATAATATCCCATTGGTCGATTAGTCATATGATCGAATGGTATAAAAACAATCTTGTAGCCAGTACCAATATCTCTATTCCATGAACCATGCAATGCAGCAAAAGCACCATTATGATAGTTTGTTGGAAATTGAGTACCCGTATAAAATTTTGTATCGAGTACAGCAGAATGAGCTTGAAAAAGAACATCAGGTATTCGAGTTATTGCTACTAGATCAGGTCGTTCACTTGTTCCATTTTCTAGACGACGTCTAGGATCTGTTAAATTTGGACTCAAATAAGCAAAAGGCCACCCATAGAAATCATTTTGTTCGATACGTGTAAAGAAATCTGGAACAAGATCATCACCTAATTCATCTCGTTCTTGGCATGCTACATATAACTCTTTCGTAATGGGATGAAAAGCTAAGCCAATAGGATTTCGAAGACCATGAGAAAATGTAACCATATTACTACCATCAATGTCAGCTACTTGAACGGAACCTCTTGGTAATGGATCAGCATCGACATTCGTTGCTGAACCAATGCCAATATAAATACGATCAAGATCAGGTGATGCAATAACAGTTCGTGTCCAATGACCACGTGCTTCATAAGTTGCTACTATCTCACCTAAACCAGATATTTGCCGACTACCAGTTGTCCATTGATAGCGACGAGTAATATTCCTATTAGCGACATAAAAATATCCATTAGCAAAAGTCATGCTATATGGTAAATAAAGTCCATTGGATTCATCTGCGAATGTAGTCAATTCATCCGGATAACCATCACCATCATTATCAATCAAACATGATATTCGATTCATTCTTGGTTCACTAACTAATATGTCACCTGATGGTGTGTATGTAAGATAACGTGGCATATTAAGTCCACTCATATATAACTTAACTGTAAATCCATCGGGAACATAGAGAGTAGGATCTTCAGGTACAGAAGTTATATTAGCATCTTTAGCATTCGATGGTGTTGCATATGGTTCTGGTAGATCAGCTAATGTTATATGAATGGGTTCTGGGATGAAACTAGAATTTTTAGCTTCAATCTCGTATATAAGAAAAAATGTTAGAAACAAAAATTGTATTAAAAACTGTCTTAGAAATAGTGATGAAGACATTTTTTTATCAATTCGCAACAGTATACAGCGTTTTTTATACTGTGAAGTAAGCAAATAGCAATCGACAACAATAGGGCGATATCAAAAATGTTCTTTGATAACAGTTTTTTACTTTTTCTTTGTTGGGTGTAGACTTATCGTAAAGGTTAAACGAATGCTTTATTTATGTCGATTTCAAAACCAGAATAAGATTAATATTTATTCTTTATTTTTAACAGAAGATCATATGAAAAAGAAGAAAAACAAGTATCCAGATGGATAAGAAGATCAATTATCATAATAAATATTATTGAAACGATAAATTGAATTAAAATAGAAGTGAGAAATGTCCTCAAATAGCATATCAAATCAATTGGCATGTACGCAAGAAACGAATGATGCTGTTAGTCGGAATAGAAAGAAAGAAAGAAAGAAAGAAAGAAACAAAGAAACATTGTCTACCATTCATCTGTTAGCTATTTATTTTCTTATCAAATAAATTGTAAGAATACAAATAAAATGCTTTTCATTTTCACACGAAAATACACAACACTTGGCAACTGCAGTAAGTATAGTGACTTTTCTTTAGATATATTTTGTTTTTGATGGATATTGAAAAAACTATATTTGTTTGAACAAAATAAAATACTTTGCGAGTCATTGACACGCGGTCGACTGAAAGATCAGGATATACACCTTGAATGTAAATTGAAAATAGCAAATTTTAGTGGACTTGATTGTTTTTGTAAAAATGCAAGAGCTCAGCGTGACCAAGAAAGCTTTTCAATCGCCGTCGATATATCGTTGACAAGAATATTACTTTAAAAGAAAAATGATATTCATTATTATCTCGTATAGATTTTCTATACATATCTTGCTTCCACATGTGAGTCTTCTGCATAATTATCTATTTTGTAAATTCATAGATATACAATCGTAGAAATCTACTTTCAAACTGAACACTTCAATATATGAATAGGTCTAGAATATTTCAAATCTAAGTTCTCCATATTACTATTTGCCTATCATCCGTTTTGTTATGTAGATTTTTCCGAGCAGCGTTCAGTCTACAATATTGGTGAAGTCAAAACGGTGATGTTGGTTATAAAAACTTTTTCACAAAAGAAATCAGTTTGGTCAGTTGAGTTTCCTACGCAATATTTTCTTCTCAGTCATAACTATATGGCAAACAAGGGTCAATCATCGTCATTGATTCGAAACAAAATCTTCTTCTGTAGCTACCATAAAATGGTCATATTTGACTATAATCGATATCAAAGTCAAACGATTTCATTGAACATATACTAGTGACCTCTGAATGACTTTTGAAAAGATGATATCTCAGTTACTTGTCAATGAATGAAACAAACAATTTCAATATTGAGAAAAAAATATTCTTTATGTTGTTATCAGTCAAATAGAACGAACAAGGAGGAATCATGAAATAAAAATTCTCATATATGTGGAAATTTTCGAGCAATCAAAAGCCTTCGACAGTCCTCTATAATATCAACACAACATAATTTTTTTCCTTCTTTCAGCGTCTTCTGTTCTCTCCCATACAATACGTATGCGAACGGCAACATCATTGTGTCTTTTTCGCTCACTCTCGTCATAGAGAGAGGGACGTGCAGGCGTAGAGTACATATAACAAAATACTTACATTGTTCATTTATTTTAAACGACAAAAAACTTGCACCTTGTTTATTTTTGACATATTTTAGTATTTAACCAAATTGCCCAATAATAAACCTTCATTCGTCCAATAAGTGACGATTAAAACACAAAAAAACTTGATTTCTTTTTTTTTTATTATTGACTCATTAATCATCGCTGTCCATAAAGAAGTCAGCAATTGTTTGTAAAACATTGCTTTAAAAAAAGTAAAAATACAAAAAAATCTATTTTGTTTTTCCAATCAACTAATTTACCTATTTTTTTCTCTTTTATGAAAAGATGAACCGGAATCAACTTTTTATATAAATTGCATCAAAAACAAATATAATATATATTTGTTATTACTATTATTATTATTTATTCTTATATACAAGCAATGAATAATACAGATCAATCACAATACTATAATAATCCAGCAGCAACACATGCACCAACAACTAATTTTTATATCCAGAATAATGGCATGGAGCCGCGTAAATTTATTCGTTTAAAATATTCCCACAATTGTTTTTCTTTCTCTTCTAGAATATGGCTTATCTGGTAGAAATCCAGGACAATATCAAACACGAATGAATCCTCCAACAGTACTTATATATGATCATAAATTTCAATTTCTATATGAATTAATTTTCTTTTTCTAGTATAATTATGGGCCAATACCGAATGGTTTTCAGCAACAATTTTATCTTCCTCAAGGATATCCCCAAAATCAATTTATGCCTTCAACTAATCCAAGACCAATGGTAAATATTATTAAAATACAAAACTAAAAAACACATTTTTATACTTTTTTTGTAAATAGAATCCTTCACAGATTCCTATTATTCGACCAGCGAATGAAACTATGAACAATTATCCACATTTTATCGCACAAAATGGATATCCACCACCACAATATACGCCTGGAAATAATAGTCTTCCATCAGCACCATCTGTCTATTCAGGACAATTGTATCAAAGTGATTTATTTATTGATTTCTGTTTTAAACAACAAATCATCTATTTTCTTTAATAGCTTACCCAATACCAACAGGCTATGCACAACAACCAGTGCAAACACAAATGGCTAATCAACCACAAATATCACAACAACAACAACAACAACAACAACAAGCATATATCGCCAATTTACAAGCACCAACACAAATTCATCCAACACAACCAATTCAACATACAGCAGTAAATATCTCTTTAATGTTGTTCCGTTTAAAAATAATAGCGAATTATGCTCTTAATAGATTGATCAATCAAATCTTAGTGTACCGACATCTCAACCTCAAATACCACCGAATATACAACAATCGAATTCCTATGTAGCACCACTAGCGACAGCAGCACCAGTGGTTCTGGAAAAACGGAAAAAAAATCCACTGATTATTGTAAATCCTGAGACACATAAACCAGTCGAAGTATCTGCACCATCTTCATCAACATCAGCTACGACGGCATCAGCAGTATCTTCTACGATAACAACGAGTGAAAATCGTTCAAACGAAACGACAACTACAGATTCAACTATAGCAAATACTAAATCGACAAATGATATAAACAAAATACAAAAACAAACCGAATTTCGACGACAATTTGCTGAAAATTTAGTCGGTTCTTCCAATGTTCAAACAGATAAGGTATGAAATGCCATTAAATATGTATTTGTACGCAAACGAATTGTTGCTCGATGTATTCTATATATTCGTCCTTGTTTACTCAGCAATGAAAAAAAAACGAGGCAGCGAAACCTTTTATTGATGAAATTTAACTTTGAATTTCGATCAACGAAATTTGACAAGAATGTGTGGATCTTCATGCTCTTATTTCCACACATTCATTTCAAACTGAAAACTTACTAATTAGAAAATTCCCCAGATGTTTGTAGATTCACCTCCTCGTCATAATCCAAGGTCACATTGGATTACAGTTGTTCTAACAGTAATACAATACTCTTACTTAATTCAGTTATAAATGTTTCGAAGCATAGTCACACAAAAGTTTAATTATATCGTCAATCTAAAATTCATATAGATCAAAGTTTAACATTCTAAATTTATTTTCAGTTTTTCAGAGAATTATAATTCGCCATCATAGAAGGCTTTCCTTTTCCCTCCATCATGTAGGACGATTTCGATAATATTCGATCTGCAAACTATAAGAATTTTCACTAGAATACAATCTATCTAAATGAAATACGGGAAAATAATGTGTTAGCCTAAGGAAGTACAGTGTTGATGTAAAAAGTAATGCAGAAGGCTCTGACATAGGCGTTCACTGTAACCTTGATTCTTTAGTCACTCAACTGTAACTGCAAATTTTAGGTGGCTTCCTTATCGGTTGAGTCACATTATGTAGGAATAGGATTTAATTTACAGCTGTATCGCTTGTTTTTGTTTTACACACACCTTTACCTTTATGTATAGACATAAATGACGTAGATATTTGGGCACTATAATTATGACACTAACGAGAGATAATGTATGTGTTTTTCTTTTCTTTTGTTTTGTAGAATACTACTCAATCAACAACATCTACAGCATCAAATGAAGATTCATCTGCTACTGCATCACTAAAACAAAACGTAACTAAACAATCCGAAAATCCAGTACAACAATCAACATCATCAGCGTCATCATCACGATCAGGCTCAATATCGCGACCGAAATCTCCGATATCAGTATCATCAAATGATACATCAACGACGCCTAGTAAAGAATCTACATCGAGTCAATCATCTGAAAAACCACAACCAGGTCATCCTGGTATTCTTGTTACACGAAATGTAACCGATGATAAAGTAGTATCGAAAGCTAATCAAGATGATATCAAAGAGAAACGAGATCGTAGTGACTCACTAAAACAAATAGAATCTGAATCAATGAAAACAATCGAAGAAACAAATGATAATTCAAAATTGGCGGTAAATAAATAAATGTTTTGCTTTTGTTGCTTTTAATACATTTTACTATAGTTTCTTGCTCTTTGTATCCATTGTTTTTTTTTACGTTCTGTAACCTTGCACAACCATGTGCAACATCATATAGATAAAATCTCAGATTCGGAATTTGATCAAGAAACTTTGAGAACAACATTCTAGCAAGCGTTTTCCTACTATTATCTATAAACTATTCGATTACTAACAATAATCTACTATTCCTTTGTAGTATAACATTTTATTTTCGATCCTATATGAGTCATAGGAACCTACTTTTGCCTTGCCATTTACTTTTTTCTGTTCTTCCTTCATCCCTGAGTATGCCGCGCTACCCATCGATTCAACGCATGATCATCTATATCTATCTTATGTAAGAACGAAAAAAAGAAAAGAAAAGAAAAAAACAGCAATACATTCATGTACAATAACAACAAGACAGAAAAAGAAGGGGCAATGTTTAAACTGCTCATTTTCTTTTGAAAAAAGGAACAACGTGTATTGAATAAAAAAAAAACAATGGTGATAAATGCTGGACAACGTGGAAAAAATAGGAAATTTTTTCCGAAACGTCAGGTATTCATCGACACTCAATATGTTTTTCTTTTTTATGATTATTTAGTCTGAAGATGCAACACCTGTAGTTAATCAAGAAACTAGTTCAATTGTTCCTGAATCACAATCAACAACATCATCCTTCGACAGAGTTACACCACCACAGACACCAACAATCATCAATGATGAAAAATCTGATGCACTACCGAATCAACGCTTACGTTATGATCGTCATGAACTTTTACGTATTCGTGATAGCTCAGCACCATTTCCAATTCCACAAAATCTTCCTGATCTCGATATTGTTATTAATCGACGTGATATTAATCCACGATTTTCCTATAATGGCACAAATAGTCAAGGACGTATAAATCCTCCATTTCATCGACAATTATCATCGAGTAATCATCCATCCTTGACACGTTATCCAAATAATGCAAATTCTGCAACTGATTCAAGACGTAAAACAGGAATCTATCTATCAGCTGAACCTGACTTCAGCAATCGTGTTGAAAATCCATATAAACCAATTGACCAAGCGACTCTCGATGCGAACAAGAAAGTTTTACGTGATGTTAAAGCAATATTAAATAAAGTCACACCACAAACATTTGATAGATTACAGAAGAAACTTGAAGCATTAGAAATTGATCGTTATGAAAAATTGGAAGGAATGATTACAATTTTCTTTTCCAAAGTAACTTTAATTTTTACTAGAAAGAAAAAAATTTTTAATTTCATTTTTTCCCTCTCTCTCTCTCTCCTAGGCAGTTGATGAACCAGCATTTAGTTTTCTATATGCAAAATTATGTAAACAATTTCAAAAAGTAAAATTATTTCAATTTTTTTAAATAGCGAATTGAAATTTCATTTCTATTTATTTTAGAAACAAGTCACAGTACCAGGTGATGATGGTAAATTAATAACATATTACTTTCGTCAAATATTATTAACACGTTGCCAGAAAGAATTCGAAAATGATTATAGACAAGAAATTGAATATGAAAAACGTAAAGCTGAAGTTGAAGCACTAATAGATGACAAGAAACGTAAAGAAGAAGCGGAAAAATTGGAAGAAGATCTTGTCAAAGCTAAACGAAGAAAATTAGGAAATATTTTGTAAGTAAATTTTAGCGATTATTAACTATTAGAAAATTTTCTCCGAGCAGAATAGTTGTTATACGAAGAACATACAATGGCTTGTGTGTCAGCTGTTGAGTACAGAAAACGATCTGATAGGGTATCATTTTTAAAAGAAAAGCACTTGTAAGAATTCGACAGAAAAACGTTTCAATGTGCCTTACCATGAACGCCGATACCAGAAGAGCTCTGCGATAATTGAGAGTTCAGAAATAGTGTAATTTTTGAATCGGAGCGGTTGCGATGGATATCAGGCTTGCTTCGAATTATTGAATGTGTGTTACCATGGTTGTAACCTTTTCCTTGTGAAGTTTTTTCTTCAGCCGACTTTTATCTCATTGGTCTTTTTATGTATTTTAGTTTTATTGGTGAACTATTTAAATTACAAATGTTAACTGATACAATCATGTATGATTGCATAGAATATTTACTTCGTGATAAATCTGATGAAGAAAGCATTGAATGTTTATGTCGTCTATTACGTACGATTGGTAAAGAACTTGATGGTAAAGCTCTCGAAAAAGTAAGATAATTAATGTTTGAGTGTTTCGAATGTTTCGAATGTTTTTTTTTGTCTAGACTGTGAATAAAACTAATTTGGAAAAACATTATCGTGAATTAGATGGTATCATTAAAGAGCAAAAAACATCAGCACGTATTCGTTTCATGATTCAAGATCTTATGGAATTAAGACAAGTAAGTTGAACAGTTAAAATCTAACAAATGATAAATCACTTTCGATATGAGTATTTTCCTTTGTTTTTTTCAACGCTTTTAATGAAGTTTTGAAAGAAATAATCAAAATTGATTTTTGGATTAAAAACTTTTTAATAGAACCAGTGACGATGTTTCAATTGAGTAATATCATCTATTTTTTTTTTGTTGCCATTGTAGTAGTAAACAGTAAATACGACTGTCTGACCTTCAGAACGAGTTAATTATAGTTTGTGTGCGTCTGGAGAAGGATTTCCTTTTCTATTGTAATATGTATTATCAAGCTTTGTTATGTACCATTTAGTGTTTAATAGATGGCACCACCTTAGATATTCGAGGATATCTATCAGAACTTCACGAAATATTTAATAGAAGTAGTATGGAGATTTTGAGATGACTATAGTTTCAGAATGGACGCTTGTTTTGAAAATAATTCATCATTTCTGATAAAATTCTTGAATAAATTGATTTTCTAAAATAATTAATAAATTAGGCTGCATGGGTTGCTCGTCGTGCCGAAGCTAAACCAACAACAATTGATGAAATTCATGAACAAGAACGTTTAAAACGTGAGCAACAAGAACGCGATCAAGAACGTGATCGACAACAACGCCGCGATCCAAATCGTTCTACTGTTATTGGTAGTACCTATAGTGGTAATAATCAACAACAGTATAATGATGGACGTGGTAGTCGTGGCAGTGGAATTAAACAGCAATCGAATAGAAATGACGACGATAGAGTAGAAAATCGTTTCAGTGTTAATAGTTTAAGACAATTACAATCCAATGATAAACGAAATCAAGGCCCATTTGTATGGAGTTATTCATTAGAAGTTAATTGACGATTAATATATTGCTTTTTTGTTTTGTAGGCAATGAGTTTAGCTCCACAACGTACATGGACGAAAGGATCAGGCATTGAAAAGAAACCTGAAGAAGATCGTTCATTTGGTGGACGGTAAGAAAATAAACTGAAATTTCATTTTCATACTTCTCAAACGAATAGATATCGAAGAAAATAGATGATCTAATAGAAATGAACATAGTAGCACATTGAATTTATAGGGACAAAAGAGAGGAAACATCCTAAAATTGATTTTTTTTTGAATAATATTTAGCACTGGTAAACCACCAGCAGGTCCTATTCAGCAACTTAAAGGTAAAGTCAATTCATCTCAAGGAGGTTCAACTTATCCTATGCAACGTCAATCATCACGTGTAAGTGAAAACTGAAAAATCTTCTGCAAATATTTGTATTGTTTTTCATTCAATTATGTTTAGGAATTAGCACGTGAAAATAGTTATCGTGATCGCGAAAATGCCTTACAGTCATTACGTAAAACAACGACTGGCAGTGGAGTAAATAGTCCGGTCAATGCAGCTGGTACTTCATCCATGACAAATTCTCGTGAAGGTTCACGTAATGTTAGTCGTGAACAATCACGTAATGCATCACGTGAATCAAGTGTCAGTGAACGAATGTCAAATGTTGGTTCATCCGTACAATCAGGTAAAGCATCCAGTGAATCAACGACAATAATTAATCAAGATCCATCGAATACGACGTTTGATGAAGAAAAAACTATAGCTCGTGTACATTCACTCATTGAAGAATACACAGAAAATTATTCAAATCTAACTGATCGACCTGTGAAAGTAAATATTTACTAATGATATAGTATGTCAAATTTTGTTTCATTTTGAATTTATAGGAAGCATTAGAAGATTTAGCCGCATTTTGTACACGAAGCCTTGATCAACAAGCAATTATTGTTCGAGAATTATTCACTAGTGTTTTAGAAGCTAAATCACGAGCCCGTCGAGCTGTTGGACATTTACTTGATGCTGCACATAATGATGATAATATTTCTGAAACAGCTTTTGTTGCTGGGTATGCATATATTTACTTTAGATTTAATAAAACAAAATTCTAAGATTTCATGTTTTGTTTTTATTACTTAGTGTTAAAATGATTATTGAAGCTGCACCTGATTATGCTGTTGACATTCCTTTAATTTGGCAATATATAGGTGAAATTCTTGGTAAGTGATGATTTTTCAAGAATGTTTTGTTTTTTATATATTGTTCTTTTCTGTATTTATTTAGGTGCATTTATTGGTGCTCCAACTTCAAATATGGCACTATTGAAACCAATTTTTGAATCTGTTCCCGACGATAAAGCGAAGCAATTCTTTCAATTTACTATTCGATATGCAACCGAATTCTCAGTAGGATATTATTACTTGACTTGATAAAATTTCACTTGAACAAGGCTGGAGGGTGTCATTGATAGAAATGCACTAGCGATGTTTTTTTCAGAGTTCTGCTCTATCAGTTACGATAATTTTATATTTCTTCAGAACTGCAGAAATCGTCATGTATAGGAACCCATGCTTTGAATAGGCTATTCTTTTGACGATGTGTATTTATTTTGACACTGGTATCAAACGATTTTCTTTTTAGTCTCAGTCACGCATACAAAGTTTTTGGCAATCATCCGGTTTTTCTCTAAATGATTTAATTAAAGTTGATCGAATCGACTCTACATTTTCAAATGAATTTGACTGGTTATTTGATACACCTGAAGTCGAACAATCAACGTCACAAACCAAAGAAAATCATTCTCCGCATCCTGATCCACAGCTTGTTAAATTATTTAAATCTGTTAATGATCAAGGTACCACAATAACTGATCCAGAAATAATCACATATATTCGTGAGGTTTGTATCCTCTTTTTCTCTCGTTTCATTTGAATCTTTATTTTGAAACTTATTTCAATAGCATATGGATCCAAGCGAAAAATTTTATATTCGAAATATTGTTTTATCTTATTTGGAAGCATGTTTAATTAATCGTGATCCACAAAAGAAAATTCAAGAAGATATTGCGAAAAAACGAATGACTGTACTAAATGCTATTATTGAACATAAATCAGAAGCAGAAATCCAAGCAGTTTATGCCATTCAAAATTTTGTTAATAAACTTGAACATCCACCAAGTAAGATTCAATGCCAATTATTCATCTCACCCAAATTATATTTTCTATTTCAATTAAATACCTTTCTATTAGACAGATTTGACTCGAAAATAGATTTTTAACGAATTTTAGATTGCCTCTTTCAATCTGAAAGTATCTATGGAGATTAAAGATCGTATACTATTCATTAGAATATCGAAGAGACGACGAAGTAAAAGTAGTGTCGAGAAATTTATCTTACAACAGTTTCTGTTATTGATAATAATGTCGACGTTTTATCCTACATTTCATCATACGTATTGAATATAGGCCCGATCGTATTCGGTGTTTTGTCGAAACGCAACAGAATAATATTGAGATGTGTGCCATTTTCAAACTCTTTTTTGTTAACATCGTTTGTTGAATCATGACTCGTTAGGATATGCACGAGTTTAGTCATCAGCTGCTGAAGCCAATAGAGCAGACAGAATCATTTGAATGAAACGATAAACTTTACTCGTTTTATAGAAATGGCTCGACTACTATTCGATATATTCTACGATGAAGAATGTGTGAGCGAAGACGCATTTTTCGAATGGCTTAAACATCCAGATCAATCAGAAACAGAAGGTAAATCAATAAAAACAAAATACATAATACCAAAAAGAATCAATTAATATAATCTCTCGTTTAGGACATGCTGTTGTCGAAATATCAACCAAAGACTTTTTTACTTGGTTACAACAAGCTGAAACAGAAGTTGAAGAAGGCGAAGAAGAAGAAGGAAGTTAAATTCGTATCATCAAACAAGGAAAAAAAATAAGTGTTCTGATGATTTGTTATTGTTATTCTTTCTTTCTTTTTTGTTATTACAATGTGTTTTTGTTTCGTTTTTTTCTCATTCTCTTTATTTATTTTCTATTATATACTGAAAACTATTATATCTGTATACAGCGCATGCGATTGATCATGGATTATCTTGTCTTGTCGTCTGATTTGAACGTCAAAAAC